CAAAGAGAGATGCGAGGGTGGGGAGGAGTTTTAGAGCGAGAGAAGGGAGATAGTGGGGTGACGACAGGCTTTGAGGGTAGGGTAAGAGAGAGAGTTGGAAATTCAAAGGAAACTACGTTGGTATTAAGAGGAGCTGTATTATTGAAATATCAAAATTGAAGTTTTGAAGCTCCTCAAGCAAACCTAAGAAGTGTAGCTTCCATCATATTGGCTAGAGATGCAGGAACTCATCTCTTTCCTCTTACTAGCAAAGAGCCAAGCTTGCGACGTGTATCATTTTTCTTTAGAGGTAAACATGGAGGAAGAGGTGAGGTTGAAGTAAGAGAGCTTAGGGAAGGTGAGGAAAAAAGAAAAGGAAGAAGTAAATAAATAAATAAATTAAATTCAAAAGCTTTTTTTTTACAAATTTTGATATTTTAATAATAAATATTAAAAATAATTATATGTGATAGTAATAAGCTAAATTTTTTTATTTAGTTGATCACTTAATAGAACATTGACAATAAATTCTTATATTTAAAAATATTAGAGAATAAATTCTAACAAAATTATTCTTAATGACTTATTCTAAAAAGTGTTTTAATATAAACCAAACATATAATTAAGTCTTAAAAATATTATTTTAATAATTAGTAAAATTCAAATAAGAACTTTAAAAATATTAACTTAATGCGTAAAAATGTTTGAACGAAAATGGATCATTTAAACTTTTTATGTGAAAGAAAAATAATGATGAAATCATTTTGTTTAATTTTTAAAAATAATCAATTAAAAAACTTAAAAGAATCAAAACTGCACGTTTTTCTATTACAAAGACCAAAACTGCGATTAAACATAAAAAAAATGTCAAGTATTTTAGTTAAGGAATTAATAAGTTAGAGATTAAGAACAAATACTTAAAACACATCAATTGATGAATTAATAAATAAAAGACATTTATTGAAAATCACGTTGAAGGTATATTAATAATATTAGATGTTTCGCATTTTTATGAAAAACAAAGGGTAAATTTTACGGGGTTTTCAAAATTCAATGGATTAGAGTACCTTTTATGAGATGGATTAACAAGCGATTGGACGTGTAAACCAAACAAATATAGTTATTTTGTTAAATTCTTTAAAAATAATTTTAATTTATAAAATAACCACAAGGCAGTTTGAGAAGTTGATAAAAAGATAAACCCTAAACCCTTATCTGAAAAGTTGCTAAAAGACTGCTTGATATCATAGCATTCCAATCCTTGTGACAGTACGACACCCCACTCTAAAATCAACTGTGGACTGAACTTCACGTAATTGGATTCCCTATAGTCATTAAGCATTGCAATCATGAGATTGTGCATTGTTGGATCCATTCTAGGGTTCTTGTCATGCTACATCAAATCTTACACGTTTGCCAAAAAATTGAAACAACTCCAATAGATTATTATTTGCTATATTCAAGCAGTGGTTATGATATTTGCTATTGTCAAATTGTGCATTCTTGATCTGTACATGAATTTTTCTTTGGAATATCATACAAAGGAGGAGAACTTTGCTTTGTAAACTTAATAATCAATTTATGGAATATGTTAAGCTTCAATTCAAGGCAATGGTTTATAAAGTTTTTCATGGCATTCACCTCTTTTAGCTTCACTCAATCAAAGTGTGTACATTTCCTTTTGCCATTGGCTCGACGGCACCTTTGTGGTATTATTAGTATATGCAGATAAAATCATCATAGTGAATCTAATATCCACTCATTAATGAAGTGTAACAAAAAACTATAAAAATTGCTTAAATTTAAAGTTTTAGTTAATTTAAAGTATTTTTTAAAAAAACTTGAGCTTGCTTATTTCTATAAAGAAACTTTTTCTTTTTCAAAATTTTCAACAAAAGTACTTAAATCTTTTACTAAAGGAGGCTTCCCTGAGTGTAACCCACCTTCCTTCCTGATGGATTCCCAACCTCAAGCTATGCAAGGACGACTTATGTTATTAGGAGCATAAGTAAGCTTGAGTCAATCATAATCCCATTTAAACTAACATAAACGTATTATTTTATGGTTTACTTTGGTTCAATTTAAGTAGTATCAAACTTGATTAGAGTCAATTTAATTGCACAACATAACTAACCCAATTCGACCTAACACACACACACACACACACAGAGAAACTATATGTGTGCGTGTTTCTCAAGTAATGCTAATTGATTTTATATTTCTCAAATTTGTTATCCAGAATTCTAATTATGTTGATGTGGGTCACGGAGGAAGATTTTACAGGGCACAACATTCGAAAATGTTGTGTGGTAGAGTAACCCCGAAAGCACAGTATTAGAAGGAAGAGGTGCACATAAAATGGAAGGACAATAATAGGAATGGGGTTGCAGAGACAACGTTGAAACGCAATGCAAAATGCAAAGCAAAGAAAGAAGCTAACTACGTACCCATCACCTTTTCACTCTTTGTTTGGGAACTGTTGTCGTTGGTTGCAGAAGCAGCGGACCCTACCATTTGTGTTGTTTAACTTTTCATCTTCAACAATGTCATGTCCCCAATCACCCCACGTGCCATTTCTGCCACCCGTAGCTTCCAATCAGATTTCATACCCTTTTTCTCCAGCGCGTGTGCATTTCTGTTAATATATTTATAATCTTCAGTTTCAACTCAAGGACAACATTTATGTACTAATTTTTATTTTTAAGTATGCTGAGTGTTATTTATTAATTAAAACTAATTTTTTATTTTAATTAAAAATTATATTTAATATTACTTTAGATTATTGGATAAAACTCTAATCAATACTTCAAATATTGTGCTTAAGTTTATTAAATTTTTAATAGAATAAAATTTAAGTACAATACAATACATGTTTTTGTTTTTATTTTTAATTAAAATCAAGTTTTACTTTAGGAACATGTATCAATTTTTATTTTTTTATTATGTTAAAATATCTAGATTGAACTTTAAGTTTAATTAAAGAATAAAAAAAATACTTAAGTTACAAATTTAAGTTTTTTCTTTTCTAATTTCTTCAACGATATATGTTAAGAAACATTAAATATAAATTACTATAAAAATATACATATTCTTATTAATTTGAGATGATATATATTTTATTTTTAATAAATTTTTAACTTTCTAACATGTGTTGGTCAACACACATTATAAATATTGAAATGTCCTTTGTCAGTCATATGTGTTTATTGCTATGCTATTTAAGTTGTTTTTATTTAAAACACGTTAATCATCAATAATTATAAGGGAAAAAAATGTCATTTTAAATAAAAATTACTTCAATAGAATTGATAACAGATGCATTCATTTAATTTTGTAAAATTTATGAGGTAAAAGTAAATTTGTAATGAAATTTAATATAACTTTTTTTAACTTAACAACAATTAATAATTTATCCTGTTTATTTAAATGTTAGTTTAAGGACAAAAAATAATTTGCGTTAGGAAGATTCGAACACCAAAATTTGATGTAAATTTATGTTATAAATGCAATCCTGTAACATTTTAACACGATCGAAACTTGCATTCAGTTTGTTATTTTCTTTTCTTTTGTTTTTGAATGATGCGATTACTAGCAATAATGTGATTCCTGTGAAGTGAAGAGGTCTGGTCAAGTGGTCCATTTGCATTATTATTATGTTCAACATAAAATATAAATGAAGAGTGGACTGTGACGAGATTGTTAATTTTTTGCTGAATATTTAGCCATAAGTTTATTTCATCATTAATGCTACCGACGAATTTAGTTACTGGTGAGCTGTTAGATGCTTACATACACACACTCAACGCAATATTTTTATGAATAGATTTTGTAGAATTATGAACTTTAATATGCATCGCATTTGCATTGATGGGTTGTTTTAATGTATTTTCAGGTTTGAAATAAAAGTGAAGGATAAATTTTGACAAATGATAATACTAAAATTGATAATCTCAAGTCTAAAATAGGTAAATAATAACACTACAATTTTAGTAAATTATTAGAAAAGAAAAACAAAAGAAGAAGACTTGTAGGTATAGTCCTGTTGATAAGACTTTGTTGAAACCTCAGTTAAATATAAAATCAACCAATTTAATATGATAATAACAAGTTGAGAACTTTCGCTCTAAATAATAAATAAAATTTGGTAATTTCAATTATCAAACTTTTAAGATTGACATTTGACGGGAAACCTATAGCATACACCTTAAATTTTGAGTTAGACTTAAATAGCTATTTACACATAAAAATAAATTTAAAAAATATTAAACATGAATTAAATTGTCAAATTTAAGTTAAGGGTATGTCATACCATATTTACATAACACATTTATAAATACGTAATACTATTTCTACAATTTTTTATAATAATAAATTTCTTTTTATCTTTCTCAATCGCATTTTTCGTTTTATTATCTCATTCTCTCTTAACTGAGTACTTCAGAAATAATATGGTAAGTAATGTTTAAGAAAAACAAAATTTTAGTTATTTTTAAAAACAACTAACAAATATTTTTTAGATTTTTATTGTAATATCTTTAATTATGTCTAAAAAAGAAATGACAATTCCTCCGTAGCACTGCTGTCATTCGGAGTTACTCGTGTCCGTACAAACATTAGCTAAAATAACAACAATAATATTCATTTATTTCAGTATACGGTACTCTTTTTTATTTCATTCTTTAATTCACATTACATTACCGTTTATATTTTTTTATATTTCTCTTTTTTACTCTTATTTTTACTGTGTAGACTTACAATGAGTGTACAATGATTCTATTTTTTATAATATGATATATATTTCCCCCCCTTCCATACACATCTGAAAAATATTTCTTATTCTTAATATGATATATATTTGCACTTTCACATTAATAAATAATTTTTAAAATTATATTAAAAATATTTAGTTATTATCCTAAAGGTTATTAAAATTATATCCTCCTTTCTTTTACTCTGTTTTAGCCTAATGTTGGGTATTTGTTGCTGGCAATGATTTGGAGTTTCTAAGTGCTAACTCTAACTAAACATTTTTTAGTTCAGAACTGAGAACCCTCTCTCACTCCTCTCCACGTCTCAATCTTAGTTTTCACTTCATCGTTTTCAGCAAAGTTGTGATTCTCTCTCTCTCTCTGTAATGGCCGCATTCTTTCAATCTGTAGCAGTAAGTTGTTCATTTTTTCATTCTGGGTTGCTCTTTTGTTTGGGTTTAAGTAGTAACATTGTTAAGGATTTTGTAATATTCAGTTCTTGTTTTTGAGGTCACTGTTCTGCTGCTATTCTTACATTTTACTTCCTCTTTTGGACCATTCTTTTCTTTCTGATACCATTGTTGTGTTATGCTCTTCCTTGTGCTAGATCTGAACTGAACTTACAATTTCTGTGCTGTGAGGCCAATTTCTCTCTTTCCATTCCATGCCCTTGTTTTCTCGTGCTTAAATTGGGACTTGGGAGTTGATGCCCTTCTTAATTTGGTTGCTTTTGAGATATCAAAACGCTAGAAAGTTCTAATTTTTGTCAGTTTTATTGCATCATATATTCGTGGCCAAGATGCTAGTTGAACTGAAAATTAAGAATCTTTTAGGGGTTTTTACCTTCTGGGAAGTATTTATAAGATCTTATAAACTATGGTGTGGAGTGCATTTCAGGTTATCATATTGTTCTTAAGTTTGTTGGATTTTCTTTTTAATACAATTTAACAACCAAATAGTTGAAATTTTGGTTTGATTTGCAGCCTTTTTTTTCCCCATTGAAGTGAATGAGTGAGTGAAGAGAGAGAGATTATTTTCACTGATTACTAAGATTGATAATTGATGTTAAATTAAGAATTAAATTTGTATAAAATGCTCGCTAGCCTATGGATTCTATGTCAATTTGTAATGCTTTTGTTTTTCCCCTCTTAAAAGTAGTGAATTCTTCAAAATTTGAAGCTACTTTTAATTGTATTTCCCATATCTTCTCATAAGAAGGAAGTTGTTGTTGATAAATTTATCCCAAAAAATTACATTGCTAAAATTTTAAAATGAGTGAACCGAGTTGATTGTATTCAGAAAAGGAAGGAATGGCTTAATCTTTTCTCACAGTTTTCTATTCTTATTAATTGAAGACGTGAACATAAACAGATGATGCTCGTTCTTAAATGTTTGCTGGACACAGGTACTATGCTGGTGTTCCCTATAGGGAAAGATGAAATTGAAGTCTAAGAAATGGAAATCTATTGTACCTCTTCATTTGAAAGGAAAATCAGCAACCCGATTTTCTCTATTCCGCAAAGTCAATTCAGCTAGCTATGGACCTGGCAAAACACCAGTTTATCTGAATGTGTATGATTTGACACCCATGAATGGTTATGTGCATTGGGCTGGTCTTGGTATCTACCACTCTGGTGTAGAAGGTACAGCTTTAAGCTTCAATGTTGAATTCTGATCTTTCTTTGTCCCTTAATCCAGGCATAACATCTGGCCTTTTCTCAAATGTGTTAGCACTAGACCTTGTGCTAGCGTAATATAAAATACTTCCATTATAAAATTTTTTCTTCCAGCAAAATGTGCCAACCGGGCAGCAGAGGACACCTAAATTTTAATCCTTGAGTTATGTGATACTCTTATTTTGTCCTCACAAAGTTGCTATGCCATACATACTGTTTAAAACTTTCTGGAGTTTATGATGAATGATGATCTATTGAATGATAAATTGGCCTAATCCTTATTGTCAGTGAAAATATGATAAAAATATTTCTAATCACATGGTAATTTACCTAATAATGTATTTGCAATTACATACATATACATATATATATATATATATATATATATATATATATATATATATATATATATATCCCTACATGAATTTTTTAATAGTTTATCTGGATGATGTATTAATATTCTCAAAAGGAATTAATCAACATATACAACATTTAAATAAATTTATAGAGTTAATTAAACAAAATGGGTTATGTGTATCAGCTAAGAAAATAAAAAAATTTCACGATAAAATTAGATTCTTAGGATTTAATATTTATCAAGGTACAATAACACCAATACAAAGGTCTATAGAATTTGCTGATAAATTTCCAGACCTGTAAAATGTAATAATATTGTATATATGAGTGTTACAACAGCATCTTGTTCATTATTTTATATATATATATTCAAGTTATTTCCAAAATCACTACTATTTACATGACTACTACTCATAATTTTTATTTCATAAATATGTGGAATTAATATAGCATTTTGTGTTGCATTTGACATGTTTACTAAGAAATACACAATTTTCAATCAACCATCAAACCCTCCCCCCAATCTAGCAGTGTCAGCAATGAAATTGTCTATGCTGATAACTTGAGGGTACTCTGAGTGAGGATACTGGAAAATGCTGCCAAGCACTGAAAAGCTCCCAGTTGTGATTTCTATATAAATCCTGACTTCTATCTGTCCCTGTTTTCACGTTCCATAAATTTTCTGTGCCACTAATCTGAACTCATCTAGAAACCAAAAGTAGTTAATTATTAGTTTTTCATCATATGCAACTGGATACATGATATTAGTTGAGGACTTTATTTATACTAAAGGGAGGCTCCCTAATTCTGTAGCAAGTTGTTGTTTGGATACCTATTGGCTTCTCTTTAAATGTAGCTAATGAGTTTTGAATGAGCGCTTCGGTTGACTGATGAATTTTATTGTAACTTACAGTTCATAGTGTGGAATATGCATTTGGAGCTCATGACTACCCAACAAGCGGTGTTTTTGAGGTTGAACCTCGGCAATGCCCAGGGTTCAAGTTCCGGAAGTCAATACTAATTGGAACCACATCTTTGGACTCTGTTCAGGTTAGGGAATTCATGGAACGCCAGTCAGCAAGGTACAATGGTGACACATATCACTTAATTGTTAAGAACTGCAACCACTTCTGCAAAGACATCTGTCACAAACTGACAGGGAAATCAATTCCAACGTGGGTTAATCGACTGGCCAGGCTAGGTATTTTCTACACTACTTGTTTCATTCGATGGTATTTGACTTTTGCAGTTGTTTGAAAGGAAGGAGTGGAGAAAAAGAGAGGGAGTGAAAGTATTCTTGCAATCTTTTTCGTGTTTGAGAGGTTTTTTCAAGGAGGGGAAGGAAGTCAATGTGTTACCAATACCATTAACCTTCCAAAATCTTGTGTTTGGGAGATTTATATGTTTTTTTCCCCTTCCCCTTGCAATTGATATGCTTAGAGATTATTATCTATCTAGTTAGTAGGGGGTTATTACCCATATTATTGCATTGGTTTAGAATTATTGGCATACTTGTGTGAAATGGGTAAAGGTCATTGGAATGGCATATTTGTAAGAAGTTGATCATTGGAGTTTACCCTTAACTCGAATAAGAAAGGTTACTTGACTGATTGAGAATTCTAACAGGTATTGACAGTGTCCTTAACCTTCCATGCTCCTGGAAAGGCACCTTCTCATCAATTGCCTTTCTGGGAGATCACACAAGTGAATTGAGACCTTTCTCTTGATGGAACTTTAGTTTCTTTTCTGTCTTGTTTTCAAAACTGTAATCCTTCAAATCTTCCTCCCTTCCAATCTCATCCATTATTTTCCTCTTATTTATACCCCTTTCAATTTGAAGCCCATCTTTAAACTTCTTGTCAATGCCAGTGGTTCTCCTTTAAATCTCAGTAGCCAATTTATTCTGTTTTCTTAAAGATATAAAACCACATTTGTCTAACATTGTACGGTATAGCACGTGACACGTTTAGTTTTGACCATATTAGATCCAAATTGCTAGATGTGATCCTCTCATATATGACGAAGACAAGTTGATTTTCGATACATTAGGTGAAAACTAGTATCATAACATCCAACATCATTTATGTTGATTCCTTGTGGCAGGTTCAATTTGCAACTGCATTCTTCCTGAAGCACTAAGAATTTCTGCTGTGGGGCATGATCCCAATTATCAGCCACATGATAGTGAAAAGAGAAGGCTTCGAAGTGGCTTCAATTGCTTGTCCTCAATCTCAATGCGACAAAAGCACCTGTCCACATCTTCGCTGTTTTTACAATCACCCTTAAGAGGCTGCTTGTCATCATCTTGGCCCTCGTGGGAATTCAAAAAATCCATTAATCGTTCCTTGAAAGAAAGGTAACTGAAGTTTGAGATTGAAGGACATGCATGACTGTACGACTCTTGTCTATGGTAGTTTTCTGTAAGTAGGATTTGGCTTTCGTCACATCATTTTCTTTTTCTTTTGCCGTTAAACTTGTATCGTTTAGTATTGAATGTGGTACGACGCATGTCATTGATATGGTTCATTCTGCTGTCAATTTGCAACTGAAAATGATCCTTTACGAGCTCTAGAAGAAACTATAAAAGCGAGCATGACCACCGTCTGCTATACTGTTATTATTATTATTATTTAATATGCATTATCATGTAAAATGCATTAATCTCAATCCTATTTTATGCAGTATTTTCACCTTGTAATTATTAATACTGTTTACTTAAAATTGTAAGGCGGACAATTCATTGGAAATATATATAATTTTACAATTTTGACGCGTACAAAATGCGTCGTACCCTAATTCATATATCGATGCCATACATAGGCAACATTTGATCAAGGAAATTAATCGCAAAAGCTCGCTTAAATACTAAAAAATTCATAATAAACATGTTACATATCTACGTTCTCATCTGAGCCCTAACTCCTACCATGTAAAGCTCAGCACTTGGTAAGAATAAAATCATTACTAGGTTACAAACTTGCAGCCTAAATCTCCCTGTGCGATAAATAAAATAATCAGAATCAGCGATGATATTGTAAACCACCTCTTATTGTAGACAGGGTTTTCTATACCATCTTTTTCTTTCATCATACAGCCCTACAGTGAACACACTGACCATGAAGCCGAATTAGCATTGGGAAAACAAACCTGCAGGAACAAAAAAAAGGTTATGGAGATCCAGGTGTGCATGGCCCTTCTAAAACGAGTCAAGAAATTTAACACAAGGGGTGCCCCTCGATGGTATATCAATGCCTCAGTATGTGTAATTTTTAATATGATCAAGTAATTTTTCCCTACCCAAACTTTTAATTAAAATCTTGCAACTTTTCTCTTATCTAATACAAAATTGACCATTCATGGATTTACCAAAAATTTGCAAGGTTTATGCTGAAAGTTAGAAACACATGAAGAAAGGTTATAAAATCATTAATAATTATAAACTCATAAAGTGGTAACATACCCTAGTACCAAAGCTACGCCCTTATCAGAATCAAAACTTGGAACAGACTGTATAACCTACTAACTCAGAATTGCGCGCTTCAGCAGCAATTCACCAGCAATTGAGTTTCATTATATCCTCCTCTTACTCTATAAAGTAAATATTAAATGAAAAGTACAGACATGCATTTATTGTGTCGAAAACATAAAAAAACATTAATACTTTATTTAATGACTAGGAGAATTTGTAAACATAAAAGGTAGAAAGATTTAAAATCAAAATAATTCTAAATATAAATACCCCTTCCCATAAGCTGTACATTAATAAGCAGATACTGAGTGAATGAAATTACAAGTCTAAAACTAGATTGGAACTAAGTATCATAAACTCATTTCAGACCGAGGCCATGAAATTATCAAAATTGTCTTTCTGATGCAAAACACTAGGAAGGATACTATTTACCATTGAGAGCAGCGTGATATATTCGTTTTTCAGCAAGCCCAACATCTGAAAGTATCAAATTACCCTGCAAGCAAAACATATAAACAATATCATGCTAGTATCAACCACCAGTTGCAGCGTAAACAGTATACAATAAATTCTGCTCTAAGCAACCAGTGCATAGTGAATACCTAGACAAGTACCCATACTAAACAGGAACGAAATTGGAAAGAAGAATGTAAAAAGGAATGAAGATCTTGATTTTCCCCAATTAGTGAAGTGAAACTTAAAAGGAACAGAATTAAATATTATACCTAATTACTACCATTTAATTTGTACCAAAAGAAATTACCATCATTCAATCATTTGTATAAAATTTTCAGAACAGGATATACCAAAAACAGATATATTCTAGTTTGCCACATTATTCCACTCCAATCATTCAAAATCAGTTAATAACATTGAAAGTGGCACTCATTTTAAAATTTCTGTTCTTCTTTGCTCTACTCCCAAGCACAGTCACACACATACACATATATCAAACAAAAAAATATGGATCACTCTATCAAGTACAAGCTGAAGTTTTCTAAAATTTGGAATGCAAGATCAACACAGTAAAGACTTATAATTTGGATGAATTAAACAAAATCACTTTGCAAAGAATTATTGAGTGTTGTTAATCTGAAATATTACATTGGTGAAATTTAGTAATTTACATTTGCACACATACTGATAGATATGGTTGAGAATCTGAATTAGTATCAATTATTAGTGTTTATTCCTACTTTGAGTTTTGATTATATAAATTATGTGTTAATGGATTGTTACACATTTATGGATAGTTTTATTTGTGATTTATTTTCAGATTAATGAGTAGAATTAGAATCAACTTTGAATTATGACTTTCTTGTATTTAAATGTTGTTAGTATGAATAAAAATGTGAGTCTTAGCTTTTTTAAGTTCATAGCCTTCTAAAAAGGTCTCGTGGTTATAGTAGGACTGATGAGCACTTGCTAAATATTGGTTTCACAAAAAGTCTGAGTGAGTCAACTCTTTATGTGCAATGCTTGAATTCTAAGTTTTAGTTGTTTTTTCGTATGTAGATGAAGCAATATTGCATTTGATGAGGAGTTCAAGCAAAATATGAAGAACGTCTTTGAGATAATAGACTGTGGAGAAATAACTTTCTTTCTTGGCATGGAAGTCAAACAAGATGAGAAATGAATTTTTAGTAGTCAAAAGAAATATGCAAAAGAAATTTTCAAGAAGTTTCAAATGGAAAACTCTAAGCCTATAAGTACTCCAATGTTTCAAAAATTGAAGTTTTGCAAAGAAGATGGTGCAGAAAAAGTTAATGAGACTAATTTTAGAGGTCTTGTCAGCTGTCTCATGTATCTTACAACAACAAAACTTAAAATTTTGCTTGTAAGTCTTCTTTCTAGATTCTTACATTGTTCAAGTGAAGTGTATCTTCAAGTTACTAAATGTGTATTGTGATATGTCAAAAGAACTCTTGGTTATGAAGTTTGGTTCAAGTATAATAAAAAATTTAATCTCCATGGATTTTCTGATAGTAATTGGGCAAGTTCATTAGAAGATATGAAAAAAAACACTTCTGGTTATTACTTTACATTTGGTACTAGAGTGTTTTCTTAAGACTCAAAGAAGCAAGATATTGTGGCACAACCAACTCTTGAAGCAAAGTTAATAACTGCTACTATAGTTGTTAATCAAGTTTTATAGCTAAAAAAAAATTTAACTAATATACAAGTGGTTCGAACAGATTCAATTAAGGTGTTTGTAGATAATCAAACAGCAAATGCAATTTCTAATAATTCAATTTTTCATGAGAAGATTAAACACTTCAATATCAAGATGCATTTTCTAAGAGAAATTCGAAAGAAAGGTGAAGTTTTGTTAGAATATTGCAAGACAGAAGACTAATTGTAAGACGCTTCCAAAAGGACAATTCGAGAACTTAAGAAAGAAACTTGAAGTTAATAAATACTGATGCAAGGAGGCTTACTGAGAATCAGAATCAATATCTATTATTAGTGTTTATTCCTATTTTATGAATTTTGATTATAGGAATTATGGGTATTAATGGACTGTTACACATTTATAGATAGTTCTATTTGTAATTTATTTTTCAGATTAATGAGTAGAATTAAAATCAAATTTGAGTTATGACTTTTTGTATTTAAATGTTATTAGTATGAATAAAAATGTGAGTTTCAGCTTTTAAGTTCATAGTTTTCTAAATTTCTCTTAGTTCCAACAAATACCCACCCAATACTCGAGTCATTCTGATGAATAAAAAATGGGAAAGGTGGTGACTAAACAAGTCATGTGAGTTAGAGAAGTGAGGTATAACGCAATATAAATTGAGGATTTTCCACAACTGCCTAGACAGACACATGGCAACAAGGGAAACAGAGTGAGGAAGTGTGTATTTTGTTAGAGAAAATGTTTAAAGTGTGAGCAGGAACCAAGCAGTCAATGAGAAAGGAATGGGTCCTATGGACTGGGAGGGTGTAAACCCTAAAATCTTGGAAAAACTATACAACAAAAGCAAGCCATTATAGTTCAAGAGTCTAAGGTCTTATAAACTCCATGCTAGAATTTCATATTCTCAATATGGGACTCAAGTTCCATACCTTGCAATTGGAACCTAAATTCCTAACCCTGTCATTTACATATTTTCTTTTCATTTACAAGCTGGATGGTTAAAAAAAAAAAAAAAAAAAAAACATTAAAAAGTTATTTATGACTGTAAAGTACTTATTAAGCTAAAAAGAAAGTTTTACCAAACTGCAAAACAACCAACTATTCTATATGATAGGCCTTAAAGGAATAACATGAGAAAAAAATGTGAGTGACAGAAATGAGAATATTAAAGTGGATGAGTGGACACACAAAAAAAGACAGGATGCAAAATGATAGTATACAAGCGAATATTGAAGTAGAATCTATAGTGGAAAAGATTACTGAAAATCATCTAAGATAGTTTGGTCATGTGTAAAAAAGACCTCTAGAAGCACTAATAAGGAGAGTGGACTACATGACTCTTAGTTCCAAAAAGAGTGGTTGAGAGAGACTCAAAAAAACCTTAAATGAAATTATTAAAATAGACCTTTTGATTAATTAGATTTTTAAAAATTTGGTTTTTAATTGAGTTCAATGACGTCGTGTAATCTATATAACTGACCTCACCTAATGAGATAAGACTTGGTTGTTGTTATTGTATTGTTTTGCTTCTCTTTTGGAGAATTTCAGAGGTCTTCCTCTGCTGTTAGGAGTTTATCTCCAAGCTCCTAGCTCTCTATCACATGCACACATTCTTCAAAACATAAAATGTGATTCAATCTATAAATAGGAAAACACATATATCCTGCCTTAACTATTTATGGTAAAAACCTGTTAGGATGTAGTTTTATATAATTGATTATATTTTAGTTGTTAAAACTTAAAGGGAGTTACATACCTCACTAGCCATCAACCTTCTCACATTATTAGCAAATAGTTTGGGATCATCCTTCTCCTGCTGCAAGGGATAGTAAGTAGGTAATCGTGTCACCTCCATATAATTTACAAATTGACACAGAATAAAAATCACATGGCGCACCTGTCAAGAACATGAATGTATATTAAAATTTCAACACAGAAAAGAAGTAGCTGGGATAGGACAATCATTCAAAATTAAATAATCAACAAGATTCAATGAAAAAAAATTATTATATCAGTATTAGAAATAAGCAGAAAAATTTTTTAAAAAGAAAAAGGAAATTTGACTGCAGATATAAACAATTTGTTTCTCCTATTCAGTTAGCACCATACCAGGGTTCGAAGCACATGAACTGATATGTATCAACCCTGAATCAACTAATTATGTTTTACACTTTACACAAGTTAAAGGCAAAATGATTTAGCCTAGCTTTGTCGGCACAACTGACTAACCATTCCCAGCCCCCACATGAAACCCAAGCGTAAGTTTACACATTCACCTGCCCCCTCAATTTTTAAACAAAAGATCAAACTTAACTCAAAAGGGTTTAGTAGGTAGGTAAGTTTTCACATCCAAGGTACAAGTACAACTGTAGACTTATGACATATTTGCCAACAAAGAGCAGTTGAGATGTTAATACCGCTTTTAATACCAAATTCAGTGAAAACAGGAAAAGCTAACACTATTCAAATGCTTACCCCAGATATGGAATCCCAGGCAGGACTAAGTCTCTGGTAGTGGTAACTTAATATTACAGGAAGTACTGGTGCTTTGGCTAAAAAGCCACCAGTCTTGAATGGAAGGAGAAAGTCCCCACTTGTGGTTGTACCTTCTGTAGAATATTCAATATCATTAAATGATCATGAGAGCATAAATATGTATGAACAATTACGAGTGTCCAGATCACTAGTGATAAAATACTGGAAGATAAAAAATTTAATATGTACAAGGAATTAGACAACAAGCAAAGAGTTAAATATTGACTAGAACATGACGTGCTAGTGCTAACCATAAACAAAAAATACTTCAGACATGGGCAAAACAGAAAAGTTAATAAAATTAAAAGAAATAGAAGGTATAGATTATAGAGCAATATTTGAAGATAAAAATATGAAATGAAGTAGCTAAAAATGAATTTAACAAATGAATCTTTAGGTTGAAGAACGATGTTGGAAAAATATGGCCGAATTTCAAAAGAAATTTGAAGTTGGAAAACTAAATCAACGTAAACTTCCATCCACAGTCTGGGATGAGAACATGGAAGCAATTTTTTTTTTTAATAATTACATCTACATCTGTTAATAATAATAATAATAATAATAAAGATGCCCAAAGAAAATAACACCAAGCAAAAGTGACATATATAAGAATGACAACATCAACTGGATGGATGACTTTTATTCCCTGCCCCAAATATACAAAAAGTTAAGGGGATGATAACCTGGAAATAACATCATTATTGGAGCAGATGTATTTTGATGAGCTTCTCGAATTCTTTCGGTGACAACAGCTGCAGGAAGAAAAGTCAAAGTTCAGCTTAACCAGACATGTAACAGACCTAAATATCTTACAGAAAGATTGGATAAAGTATCAAATCTAGCCACAAGTTGCAACACAAGAATTCATTTTTAAACAAAGCATTAAAATCTTGATTTGGATTATTAATACACATGAATATGCATAATGGGAAGACAAGTGGACGCCCCCTTACACATGACAAACAGCTAGAGTATATATAGAAGCCAAAAAACAAGAAGTAATCAATTAAAATTAAGTATAATAAAAATTCCTAAATTTTGACCTACTGTTGGTATAAAGTGCTTCCAGACATCATACATATTCAAAACCAGCTATAAGCAGGCTCATCCTTTGGCTATTTTAAGATAGGTTCACAGATGATTCAATTAGGGTAAGCCGGTGAAATTTCTTTGAATCAAAATCAGATATCTCCGGTGCAAAATGGACTCAAAAATAAAAAAATTACAAATGAACCAAAATTGTGTAAAAATTCAAGATCAAATGATCCCAAGCGAAGGGTATGTCACTAAAATACAAAGAGAAGAATCAAGGAGGAGGAAAAGAAGGACAAAGAAGGGGTTTACTTTATTAAAATTGCACATTTTCAGAATTATAAGTGCATACACACCAATAATCTACACACCTGAAGCGCCCTTAAAGTCTGATGACTTTGATTCCCGTTGGACATAGACACAACCAAGGCACTTACTGTCACAAAAAATGCAATAATTGTTAAGGATGGGATTCGGAATAATCCTAAGAAAGGATAACGAACATTTAAGCAGATAAATGTAACATTCTTGTTCAATAATAATTATAAGTTGATCATACTTCATAACATGAAATTTCAATCTGCCACCAAGAAAAGAATAATGAGGAGAGCACCCAAAGAGGAGATAAAAATGAAGAAAACAACAGACCTGATGAGACCAACAAGAGGAAGTTTAGCCACTGATCTCTTCATCGATGAGATCCAAGATTGAAATAAAGCATTTGAAAATTTAAAAAAAAAGCGTCAGTAACAAAGCTAAAGGCCAATAACGAAATGTGTTCAAGATAATTGGAAAAGGGGACTTGTCACAACATCACAAACCTTCGCAACAAAACTTGGGAACGAATAAGACATGTGATACAAAATATCCAAATATGACACATGATTTGAAACTATTACACCGGGTCTTCCCATATCTTCAAGCTGACCTCTGTTCTCCTTCTTACATTGAAAAAGATGGAAGAAATAAAATAAGTAGAATTAAAATCATATAAAGCAGAAATTAAAGAAATGATATTGTACGAAACGGGAAAGCAAGTTATCTATCTAATAGTTACTCAAAGACATTGGCAGTTTCTCAGTAAGTACATTGGCAGCAAATATGTACAAAAAATCAGATAAAGGAAAATTAAATAATTAAAACACACAAACACAATCTTAATCTTTTAGTTACACTTCCAATGAAACAGAATAGACGTAACTTTCAAATACATGCACTTGTTAATCAGGCATGTAACCATTTAAATTGATAATGAAAATTACGTGAGTGAATCTATATCGGAAAAAATAAAATCAAAGCAGAATAGTCGTGCGAGTTAAGTATTTTTCAGTAAAACGATAACGTAATAATTAATCAGGTTTTGAACGAAGGAAGTACCCGAATGGTGGTAGGGTCTTCATGAAGATGAGGAATACGATAGGATTGGGTGATCCAATAAAACCCTAGAACGAAAAGCATGAGCCTAGAGAGGGCTCTACCACACTGAACAATGACGATTCTTCTCCACCCGATAATGTGCGCGAAATCCTCTTGTTCCTGCTCTCGATTAGGGACCAAGCAAATCGTGCAAACCCTACAAATCAAGTAATACAACAACAAGATGATCATGACAGCAACCACCCTCAACGGAACCAGCGTCACGAGTGCAACGCCAAGCAACACCTTTTCCCGCGTCGGTAACTCGCCGCGTCCCATGGTTCCGTACGCATCGCGCCTCACGAACGCCGCGAATTTCTTCTCCAGTTCGTCGGTGGAAGTGGCGGCGGCGGAGAAGGAGACGGACTTGAGGAGAGGACGGTCGTCCCTAATCGGGTCGGGTTGTCTGGGCGGTTTTGAATTCAGGTCGCGGAGTTCCGACTCCATGGTTATTAATCATCTCAACAGCTTTCCATTTGTTTCTTTGTTTGGCCGGAAAGAAAATGCAAATTATTTTCTTCTGTGAAACTTGTTTGTTTGGAGATGATGAAGGATTCACGTTCGCTTACTCGCTGGAATTTTTCCGACAAATGGAACCATTGGAAGGGAATTTTTTTTTTTTAATTTTTGAAAATGGAAAAAATGGCAGAAAGCATTGGCATTGGAGAGCTAATAATTTTGCTTTTGACATAGTATATCACAATTGTTAATATTTGTCAAATTATCAGTCACTTATTTTAAGCTGAAATATGGGAATTGGAATATTAAATAGCTTAATAATTGGATTTAGTGTATAAAAAAGGAAACGTTCTAACCCAAACTTTAAGAAAGAGAAAATACTTGGAGACCTTTTTTTAACGATAAATATACTCCATTGAGCAAAGTTTGTATATGAATATATGAATAGGACGAGGATATATGGATAGCCATATACATGCCATATATGTAAAAGGAGAGAACAGAGACAGGAAGAGAACTTAAAATAAAGCATGACTAAACGAGCGCTGAGAATATTCAATGGTTATTTAGTGATGTATGACCAGTTTAATATATAATATATTAGTTCCAACCGGATTAAGCATTGATTGAGTACTGTCCAGGCGACCGTGACACAGCGTCCATGAGATTAATTAACGTTACAATAATGGAGGAGCATGACTCATTACATGCCGCAGGTTAGACCTTGTCACATCCCGGTCGCGGACTACAACATGGTAAAGTTCGAATTCCACCAGTTGCTAAAATTCTTTTAAGTCAATCAATCTCTTTAGAACAGAGAGACCTATGACGCAGACCAAGTCGAAATCAGCAACAACCTAGCATCATGGCAAGATTTGGGATGCAACGCAGACATGCCGGTAGACGTAGCTTGTAGAGAACTGAAAGGAAAATGTTTTTTGTACTCCTAGAAGGAGCAAACTTTAGATGTTCTCTTTTATATTTGATATATATTTTCTATATTTTTAGAAGTGTATACAAAAAAGTGAGATATATTTTTTTAGAATGCATGTAAACCCAAAAAAGTGAGAGATAGACACAATATTATAAGATGTCCTGTATGATGTCAATTTTCAATTATCCACATTTAGGAATTGCAATTGAAATGCCTCTGAAAGTTTTCACCCAAAAAACATTTGTTTCACAGTGCAGTCACCCACCAACGTAATTATTCCATGCAAATCATTGACTAACAGCCACAGTACACAAAGTAGCACACAGCCAGCCTTACCTTCGCGCTAAAACTTACCTCCAGAACAGGACAACATGGAAAATAAAGAAATTCATGTCCTACTTAGCAAGACATCAAACCAGTTGAACAAACCAGCAATCAGTAAAATCATTTTACAACCACTAACAAATGAGATTCTTTAATCTTAAAAGATTTTTTTTTTCCCACCCACTTCTTATGATAATTAATGAATAGTACCAACCAACATGCGGCAGGAAAGCAGTTTACTGGTTAGTTTGAAAGATGGTAAGTCCCTTGTAAAAATTATTTGTCGAGTACTAATGAAGCCGAGAATCAGATGCAATTAATTTGTGGAAAGAAATATGTATGAAGCAATGTTGTTGATGGTGCATGTTCATCCAAATCAAGTAGGAGGTAGCACCCAGTATAAAAGCAGTAGAGTTACACTTACATGCAAGAATCCAGATAAACAATCCCAAAAAAGCATATAATATATCCTGAAAACTGCCAGGCAGTAAAATATAATCTTCTCATTGCTTCGAGTTATTCATACAATTACCACCCCGTGATACCAAAATATTTGTAAAGAAACTAAAACTCAAACCAACCCAATTGAAATTCCATTTGAAAAAAGGTTTGGCATTTTACTTATTTTACTTTTCCTGATAATCAGGAGTCCAAAAATTGGACAACATTCATTCTCAATTGAGAAACTCCCCATTCACCAATATCAACCGATAGAAGTTGCAATAAATCAACGGGGTTGTGGAAATTAATACACAACCAAAGGAAGTCTGACAACAAAAACATCTCAGTTTGCAGCCACCTTTCCCATCATGTAAGAGAAAAACAAGTTGGCCAAGAAGACTGGTTAGCAATGTACTAACATAAAAAGGTGAGAGAAACTCCGAACGGCTAATGAAGTCAACACCCCTCTTGGTCATACTAGACAGAAGCAAAAAACAGAACTATTCAATAAATGTCTTTCTAAGTCAGAAACAATTTCAAAGAATTAGTGACAAGAGACATACTATTTCGATACAACTCCAATTACATTCTATATGCATTTCCACAGGGAAAGTGACCATGCCAAATTCATTTCCCCCTAAACTGTTTCTTCCATCCAACAGCCACTCCAAATCAAGTTTTACAGGCATTCAATCAATTTTCCCCCCTTTTCCCTTTAAATATCAGTGTTGTGTTGAGTTAATAAACCAACGGAATCTGGGAAGCCACACCTGTTATGTAAAGAATCCACACATGTTCCTCTAAACATTCCATTTTGCAATGCACTGTGAGCTCTCAACAAAAATTGACCATACAACAACACAACACTAATGCTGACATAATTTTCTTTTGTCTAAATCATACAAAATGAAGCGAAATTGGGCCACAACCACAGCATGATAAACCATAGCAAAGAAATGTCTGCTAAAATAAACCAATAGAACTATGGTCGTCGGTTACTTTATTAATGAATCAGTAATAAATCTAAAATCCAAGCACCATTTTCTCTTGGGGGTATACATATATACTCCTTACATGTTCATGTGTGAAAATAATTCCTCAGAACTAATAACGCATCAGAAACCAAGAAACAGAAACTATTAGAATTTTGATCGGAGAGAACGTGAAGAGAGAATGAGCTTCAAGCTTCAGTGACCTGTCTGAAAAGATTAAGCAATTTTAAACCCATAAAGCTCGGCTTATATACCCTTTAATTTGTGACAAATGCAACAACATGAGACTTTTATTGTTTAAGAGAAAAAAAAAAAAAAAAAAAAAGAATAGCGCAACTCAGCAAGACACCCAATTCTTATGAGTGCTAATAAGCGCTGACAAAAGCCCCGCAGAAGCCATCAAAAGAGGCTTAGAAAACGGTCCTTTCCCATCCAATATATCATCCAAAGCCATTAACGCATCAGCCAAATCCTGAACAATGGAAAGCTTCTTCATAACCTTCTTCTCTCTCAATTTCCCCAGCCTAACTTCTTCTTCCTTGCACCCAACCCCTCTCAAACCCCCAATTTCAACGCTCGATTTCAAACACGCTTCCTCCTCCGCCATCGCTCTCAAATCCCTAAATTTCAACGCTACACTCCCTAAGTACCCAACCAACTCAGCCCAAGCACTCAGCTTCTGAAAAGTAAGGGCATGTTTGGGATCGATCAAACCAGACTTCGCGAGCCAAACAAACTGCTCAACGAAGTAGTAAATCCCTTCGCCGCCGTAAGCGATTAGGGATAAGAGAACATCGTGTTTGGAATGGGAGTGGTAGGATCGAAGCGCGTTGAGGTCCTGAACGAACTTGCCGAGCCTGAAGGCTTTTCGGCTAACGCCGACGCTGGACTCGAAGCTCTTGAGGTGGTGTGAGAGGGTAGGGTTGGAGTGGAAAAGCGAAGAGGCGAGGATGAGCTTTGTGGTGTACCTGGAAATCTTTAGAAGCTTGTCAACACCGTCGCGTTTCGCAAGGTACGCTTCCACGTGATTCAATAAGTCTCGGCTCCCCTTCGATGGTGGATTCGGCTTAGGGTTTTGCGGTGGCGGTGGTGCTGATTTTGAATCCATTGAATCGAAGTGGTTCCAATCCCCGCTAATGGAAAAGGGTTCGATAGTTTTCCGAGCGATTGCATCAACTGCTTCAGTGCTCAGCGCCAACTTTGTCCTACGTGGCATTGCGTAAGTAGAAACGACATTTAAAAAACAAAATTATTAAAAAAAAATGAAATAAATAACACTTTTAATTTGATGTACTAAATATTTAAAAAATCCAAATATTTTATCTTTTTATTCTCTTGAAATTGAAGCTAATTTAATTTTTTTATTAACATGACACATTTATAGCATCTAAATAAGCGTTAAAACTTTGTGAATAATGCAACAACTATTGTAGATTTGATTTTTAAAAAGAGTTTTGCTGTTTATTTAGATTAATTTAATAAAAGAAAAAAATAATAAGGATTTTCATCCTTTATGATTATGGGATGAATTCAAAAGAAGAAATAGATGTCATGCTTTTCATAAAGAAAAAAGAATTTTATTAACTTTAACTTTAAGAATTGAAGAAAAAAAAGTACTTCTTATATTTTTATAACTTCAATACAATATTTGTATATTTTTTTCATAAAATTTTTTAGTAGATATGGCATGAATATGTATTTACTTGATAATTGTGAGATGTATGCATTTTCTAAGTACGAGTCATATGTTGCTTATATTTGAATTAGCAGGGTATTTCTTTCCTATACACTAACTATATCCATGATAAATAACACTTTCATTAAAAATTAAAACATGCCAACTAGTACATAAAATTTCTACCAATTATTACATGACCCAACACTTGTCTTACAATTAACCAACTTGATTTTGTTGAGGATAATGATGTCAGTTATGACCAACTTGGTTACAATTTCTACACCTTTGTGTGCTTTTTGACTCAACCCAGTCTATTTCAATCATAATCACCAATTTACATTAACTATTTGTAAGGATGTTGCATTCATTTCCAAGGGGGCACAATATGAAGAATATGCATTTACAACATACTATATTGAATAAACTCAGTCAACATATTGTCAAAAATTAATACTCATAACAGTACATGCAACGATTACATGCGAGTAAGGAAATTGATAAGCCTTGAATCTTCCACATTCACAATATCTCCTGAACAATAGATGTCCATTTGTGACTACTCATTTATGTTATTGGATTAAACGTTTCTTCAACTTCAAAACTTATTCTTTGTATGTAACATCAACGAGCTTGGTATAACGAAACTTTGTGTTGATTTTTTTGAATTTCAATAATTACTTTACGACAAAACATGTTTTCATTGTTAAGGTAAGACATAGTCTCTTCTCCCTGGTTCACAAAATATTTAATCAAACATCCATTCATAACTCTTACTAGTGCAGTTATGGTAGGTTTCTAGCACCTTTCAAAACCTTATTAACTGTTTCTGAAAGATTTGTGGTCATGTGTCCATAACGTCACCCTTCTTCATCATAAGACAATGATCATTTCTCCTTTGATATGTAATCAATCCACCTTCGTATATTCTCATATTCATTACCAAATCTAGTAATTTTTGCTGAAAGATTACTTTCAATGGTGTATAACCTACAATGACAACATTAAAAACATTACAAATATGTGCCTTAACATTTAATTATGCTAGACAATACAAATGATACGTAAAATAAAAAGACATACCTAATTTGATAAGGTCTTTCTTCAACGTTATGTTTTTAATTCAGGGATTGAAGTTGCTAGCAATATGACAAATGCAATATATATGATACATATTTGGAGGTTGTCACCCAATGTGTGAATTTGGCACTACCCCTCTTAGATGACGATCTGATGTCAAACAAATTCTCAATTTATTAATAACATGCAAACGAATCATTGTTAAAAATTATTCTCATGTTGACAAAATTTCTCCTTTAATAATTGCAAAAGCTATTAGAAGAACATAATTGTTTTCATCTTGAGTTGTTGTAATGAGCAACATGTATTGATACTTACCCATATAAGAACGTCTCATCTACTTGTAATATAGGTTTATAAAATTTAAAAGCTTCATAACATTGTTTGAATGACCAGAACAATCGTTCAAATACTCTAAACTTGTTATCCACTTCATGACCAACTACAGACTCTATCGTTTCAATTTTATAAATAGATTCAAGAGCATGTAATTGAATGCATTCTAACTAACCTGGCAAGATAGTCTATGATTCATCTTAGTTACTAAAAACTCTAATAATGGCTTTTTGCTATGACTTCTAAGCTTTTTTATATGAAATTTTGTATCTAAACTCAACATTTATTCTCTCTTGTATCAATGAAATATATACTAATGATTCTTTATTCACCATGCCTACGTAAAATTAAAACAATTTAATTAAAAACAATGTAATTGTATACATAATAAAACATAAAATCATTAAAATATATTAAAGATTTGTCTTACCAATTATGCATGAACAAATTAAATTTAAATATAACTTTTAATGATCTTAAGAAATTCTAAGATTGACACATGTATGCGAACAATTTTTTACTTATTTGAATTCTTCTCCATGGACAACTAGGGCTACGGTTCAAACATTTCATATACAAACATATTGATTTAGACTCAGGTACAAAATAACTTTGATGAATCTTCATCGCATAATATTTTAATGCATTTTTCACATCTTCTTTAACATCAAAAAGGAATTAGAGTCTCTCCTGCATTAAAATTTGCAAAAATATTTTTCATTACTATTAACATAATCAATTAAAAATAACAAATTTTAAACATTATATCACATTATCTCCTACTATTTCTTCTTATTGTATATTTAAGTTGGAATCAAATTCGGCTCCAACATGAGTAGAAGAAGTGTCTAACAAAATCTCATCTTGATCATCTCCATCACTACAACTATCATAAACTAAGTCTTCATATTCTTCATCAACATCCTAATTATTTTATTACAATAAATTCATAACTTTTAATTTTTACAAATAAATATTTTAATAAAATAATTTCTAAATTTCAACTTTACCTTGATAGTAATCAAAATTCATAGATATATCATCTTTTTGTTGTAAAAGTAATATATATGATATCTATTTATAAATTATATGCTTTTATTTTCACGCATAATGCTTGAATTTATTTTTTGTTTTTGTCATGCCATTAAAAAATAATGTTAGTAAATTAACATAAAAAATAAATTTAAAAAGATAGAAAACACACACATCAAAAATTAAAACAAAGCAATAAATTAAGGAAATTTTTGAAATAAGTTAAAAATCATATGACAACTTTAGTAATTATATGTATATACCATCACTGGCCGGGAGCCTTCAATATAATAACAAAGATAAAACTCTATGGCACTTTCTAATACTTTGAGTAAACCCATATGCATTTTTCTTATACTCATGCTATTTCAATTTATCAAAGCTATTATAAGAAGGACCGTAGCAATTGGATGATGACCTAGAAGTTTTCTGATACACAGGATCCTTATAACAAGGCAAGTGTAGAGCATACTTACTTCTAGTCAGGGACTAGAGGATAGTCATTATAAACAAAGCTTTCAGAGAGAAGTTTAGAAAGAACTCATGATATATGAAAACACATGTTTTATTTCAATTCGGTTTGCCTCTAAAGGGCAATAGTTCCTCAATATATAGGGATGGAAAGCAAACATAATTATTACAATAGACAAATTTTGATAAGAATCCAACCTTTTATAAAGTTCCTTTGAGCAAACAAACAAAGAAGAAAACTTTTAGTATATATGAGTCACACTAAAAACATAATACATAAAGTTGATTCTGAAATTCTTCAGTCCTTGCAAATAGGCTCATGGCTTGGAGATAAATTTGGGTCATCATCAGTTCCCTATCCTTCCTGATTCATTACAGATTCGTATGGATCCTGAGAGTCCGTTATTGTATCAATAACATGTGATGATTCAGCTCCACCACTAATTATGACATGACTTTCTCTATCACAATTTCCAAAAGTAATGCTGAAAGAGACCAAAGGTGGAATTACTTGTTGGATTTTATTCCACATATTTTGGTCATAAGGATCTGGAGGGCAGATAATATCCATAGATTTTTAACTTTGCACATGTGGTGCTCCATTTTCAACATAAAGATGAGTAATCAGATCAGCCTGATGAAATGGTGGTCTTTCTAGTTCTATTATATCCCTTATACTTCCATAAGTGTTCCAAAATCTAACTTGATTTTGAGTATAGATTAATTTGGAAACTAGATGTTTGAAATAAGGTCTATAAATAATTACCACAGTAATATTTTTTTGAAACTCAGAAGGTGGTAAATTAATTTCTTTCCAAATACAGACTCTCTCTGTTTCAGACTGAATGTCTTTCTTCCAATACTGAATAGGTTAGAACCAGGTTAAGAATTTCCATAACATGAATGACTCATGTTGAGGATTATTAAGAATTCAAACATTTTGAATGTGGGAAAAACTATGGGGTAATGAAATAAGAGAGTGACACACCATAAATACCAAAGGTCTTCTTCAATCATAGAAAACTCCATTAATAAAGCAAAAATATTTAGATAAAGAGCATCAGGATGGAACCATGAAGGTTTTGGTTTGACACCATGGTTATGAAGAGAAGGAGCTAGGCAATGGAACATATGATTTCGTGCAAAGTCTTTTATATATTCTATGGTGAGGAAAATATCATTATTCAACTCAAGTGGAAAGATACGAAGAGGTTGGTAGCTTGTACTTGCTTCAGCTATGTTGAGTGAGAATATTAGTAGATAACTGTGTGCAGAGGTGATAATGGAGATAGGCTTTTTTGGTCTGGATAATAGATCAAGGACAATATTATTTTCTTCTTTGATATGTTTAACAATAAAATCATACCTGGGAATCAATTCTTAAGCCTAAGAATTTGAGGATCAAGAGGCATTTTATTTTTGAATTTAAGAAGAGTTGAAAAAGAGGAATTATCCATTTGAACTTCAAAATTGTATCCTCTTAAATGGAAATCAAATTTTTGAATTCCATTTTTTACTACTAGAGCTTCCTTGAATGTAGTATAATAATGCTTCTTTGACTTTTTGAATTGTCCACTAGCATGTCCACAATAAGCCTTTTTCCCACAGCTCCCCAATAATGATC